TTTAAACCTTCTAAGCTTTACATTCTCATAGGTTATATATGTATCTTAGTATAATATTTTTAACTTGTAAATCCATTGTATTTCTATATGCCAAAGATGGATATCTAATAATAAAATTGAAAATTGAAAAATTGAAAAGTGCTTGGTCATGGTCGGCTATACTCAGTATAGTTTAACCGGTGGTGTGTGCGAGTGTCAACGAAGGTGGTCCACGGACCATGTCCACGAAGGTAGTTCCTAGACCTGTTGTCTGCGCATCCGCGTTTTGTCGTTTCCCCTGCCCTACACACGTAGAAATATCACAACTTGTCAACAAGATGTGTTCGCAACAGGCTTGTAGCAAGTTTGTCAACAACTTGGAACAGTGCTGTTATTTTATCAAATCGTAGCGGTTGTCACTCACAACTTGTTGACAAATTGATGAATTGCAGGACGATAACAAGTTCTTGGAACAATTTGTAACAAGTCTATTGAGCTCAACAACCTTGTTCAACAAGCTGGGAACAAGCAGTGCGAACCAATCCTGTTGACAGGTTGTTGGAACTGCATTCCTACAAGTCTGCTGCAGGTTTGTTACAATTTGTGCGTTTTACGTGTGTAGTAATGTATGTGACTATATATTTAAATGATGTTTTAATAAACGTCAACTGAAAACTATATCACTTTTAACCTCATAGGCTGCGCAGAATTCACATACAGAAGTGATCCAACTTCTCATGACGAACAATCCAAGTTTATCATCAGTGAAAGATAAATGGCACAAACTGCCTGTTGATTATGTTACTGAAACAAATAAAGAGCTACAAATATTGCTAAAACCTTCGCATTACAAACCATAATGAAGTGTGGAAGTCACAAAACAATGAGAAAGAAGAAGAGCTGTAGTTATGTTTTGATTTGGATGATCCTGCTGGACAACAAATTTGTTTCAGATATCGCTTTGATGTTGAGACATAATGAACAAACTAGTCAAGAAGAGTACGAAACTGTGCGCATGGACTGGTGGTCCGAGTGCCTTTCCAAATCATTAAAATGAATTAGGATGTTTACCCCAAACAAAGTTTGCAAGCTGTGAGCAACATGCACGTGAATGGCATTGTTGGTAAAGCTATTATTAATCATAATCAGTCAATTGAAAATATAGGACAAAGAAAAATCAATTAATGCTTGTACATATAATGATAGGATGAAGAATGTTAACAAAACTGAAAATAACCCAATTCATATTAATTCTGATGGGTGCAAAGAATAGCAAAAACCAAAAAGGGGGCAGGTTAATGTTCAAAAAAGGGATGGACCATTAGAAAGTGGGACAGCGGGGATGGTTCTTTTTATGCACGATTTTGCAGTGTCACAGGTTTGGCAAACTATATAGTATATCCGTTAACAAGCTGTCTGTTGAATTTCAAATATATCCTTGAACCCAAAATATGTCATCCCTAGCCCTAAATATTCTTTTAAAATGTCAATTATCTAAAAGGGGTGTGTCTATAACAACACCACATCCCTCCACTCTTTGATGTAGCTGTTTATACTTAAATTCAAACCGTCCAAACTCAACGCAAGTATCTTTACTGTTTAATTATGGGTTAACGAATAATTAATCCGGGTTTATAGGATTCCCATATTGTTCTCTTTGCACACGTTTTCTAGTTGATCTTCTCAGCACTGGTGCTTGCACGTCGTTGTTTATCTCTGTTCTCGTGGATGCTCGTGCCCCGTGATCTTCTTCATCATCTGAATCTCCCGCTACACCTTTTATCTTTTTGAAGAATGACGCGTCACAATGTGTTTCTGGTTTTCAGCTACTATCTTAGTTCTTTTCCGTTCAATTTTCGTTTTTGGTCCTAGTTCGTATCTTGTTGTAAATTTATTTCTCTTCCTTTAAGCACAACTTTATCACCCACTTTCAAATCTGACGGTTTGGCATGTCTTCTTTGATTTGCATACTTTCTTCCCTTTGTTTTAGCTCTAGCATCATTCGTTTTGGCGTCTTTATGCCTATTTAACACCTTATCTTTTGGGTTTAACATGGGTAGTGTTCCTCGTGCTGGTCTATTGAAAAGAAGTTGGGAAGGTGGAATGTTCGTTCAACAATGCGGTGTGGTTCGATAACTCAAACCGGGAAAGCTCTTGGACCCAACTGCGATTTTCTGCGCTAGCGGTCCTTGTTGCCTTCGACTTCTTGGACCATTGTAGATAGATATAGATAGATAGATTGTTTGTTTAATAAGATTAACGCATAGCAGCCAATAAGGCTGAATTGCGTGCCAAATTTTACAAGAGAAATGATTAAAATTAGTTATTCTATATTTACAGATGTTTAAAATTACATTACAATTTATAATTCTATATTACAGAAGTTTAAAGTTACATTACAAATTAGCTATGAAAGTAATGAAACTAGTAAATTTCTAAAAAAAATGTTAGCCAGTCTAAAACTGAATATCAGAATCGATTGTCAGTTAATATTATTGATATGCCTTACAGATGAAGGGAAAAAACTGTTTCTAAATCTGTTCGTTTTGGTCTGAGGAACAACAAAAGACCTTGAGTGTCTAAGGTCGTAATTTGGAAAGTATCTAGATGGTACATGATTATGCATATTAGCTACTGGTGTTGTGGTGATTTCATTAAACAGTTTCTCGCATGCATCCACACGCCTGTCACTTAATGGTTTGATGCCCGATTTTTGTAAACAATCCGCATAACCTGTCAGTGGATAGATGATTGATAAAACACGCTTTTGAACCCGTTCCAGGGCATTAGATAAGTAGGAAGGAAGGGCGAAGTGGAAAACTTGACAGCTGAATTCCATGACTGGTCTGACGCAGGTAGTGTAAAAATTTATTATGTCAGCTTCAGGTACATGAGCACGTTTCAACTGAATAATAAAATAAATCCGTTTGTTCGCCTTCTTAACTATGTTAGTTATGTGTTGGTTCCATTTTAGATCTTTAGAAATTGTCAAACCTAGGATTCTTGCATGGTTCACTGTCTCGATTTGGCCTGAGATGATCTTAAGGCGCGGAAATTCTTTCTCAGGTTTTGTAAAACTGATAACAAGTTCCTTGCACTTGGAGGCATTTAATTGCATCTTGTTTTCTACAGACCAATTTTGAACACAATCGACTGTATCTTGAATTTTACTGAGTGTGTTGATGTAAATGATTTCAGATACCGTAGCATCATCGATGTATTTCCATCGCTCATGATGTGGGGGCGTAGGTCATTTATCATTAGGATGAATAACCAAGGTCCCAATTTGGTTCCTTGAGGGACACCGGAAGGAATGTCAATCCATTCAGACATACAGTCTCTTGCAAGTTTCACCCGTTGTTGCCTGTTCATCAGAAAGTCAATTACCCACCGCTTAATGAAATTTGGCATTGGCAATTGGATGATTTTCGTGGCTAAGATCTTATGATCAATCAAGTCGAAGGCCTTTTTATATCAAAAAGAACCACTCTTACAGCGTTTCCAGTTCCATCTGTGGCTTGAGTCCACGCATGAACCATAGAAATTAAGGCTTTTGTAGCAGATGATCGAGGGATGCCACCAAATTGAAAAGGATCAATTGACGACAACACTGCTGGAGCGATATATTTTTCAACAACAACCTCTTCTGCAAGTTTAGACAGAACCGGAGTTAACGAAATAGGTCGGAGCTGTTTGCTTATGTCTTTAACAGGTTTCTCTTTCGGAATAGGTGTAATGTTAGCTTGTTTCCAGCATGAGGGCAGTCTTTTTTGCTTGTAGGACGAATTCAATAAGTCCGATACAGAGGGAGCAAGGATTTCGGCATAATCACGAAGAATTCAATTGGGGATATCATCAGGGCCCGGAGCTTTATGCGAGTTCAAGCTTTTCAGTTTTTTCAAGACCGATGCAGTATTTGTCAAATTCATGTTTGCATCTAACGGATAATCAGGAATCTCCTCAAACAAGGTGTTCAAATCTGTGACATTTAAGGGATCATAAGTATTCATTGGTTCTATTAGGCTTTTGTTAATTAAATCTGCAAAACCTTTGTGTGTTAAATGTTCTGTATCTTCGACATGAAGTTGGTTAAGCAAACTGCCAGATACAGGTCTCATACCGGAGACGTTTAACCTCTGTCCACCAAGATTTGGGGTTAGTCTGATTTAGATGTAAATAGAATGCCATGCATGTCGTGCGAAGATGGCGTCTAGTTTAGGAATGACCAGTGGCGTGCTGGGTACTATTTTTCTGGGGGGGGCCAGTTGGCTGTCAACCAATCTGCGCCCCTATAATTTTACGCTTGATAAACGAGGGCCGAAGGCACGAGCCTAGCGCCGCAGGTGCGAGGTTTGTCTAGGGGGGTCCGGGGGCATGCCCCCCAGGAAAATTTTTGAATTTAGAGTCTCTGAAATGCCATTTCCTGGACTTTGGGGGAAGATTTGACAGAATCTGATGGTCAGGAAACGGCATTATAACGTGTCGAAATTTGCAATTTGGTTAAAATTTAGTAGTAGTACTTAAATTGGGCAATGCTAACTACTTCCAGCTATTAATCTAACCCCAATTCTATTCTCTACTGATCTAGTGATCTGAATACATTTACAACTTACATCTCTTTTATATAACAACACACGGACCCCACGCATATGCATTTTAAGGTTTCCTTGCCTGGCTGCCAAAAGGGCGCGTTTCAGCATTATTTCATTACTTACATTACTCATGATGTTTCTTGCGCAAACAACTAAATTACGTACACAACTTTACATTATCATAACTTCAACTATCTAATTTGCGCCGCTCTCGTGAAGCATAATAAAGGGCGTAATATAAGGGCATAATACCAGCAAAAAAGGGCATAATTCCCGTGATCGCTTCGAAACCTGACCAATATTCCGGTGATGAGACATTGCGTGTGATCACAGTTCATGTTTCTATATGAACGATTTCGTGTGAGCCGTGAGGTAGCAAATTAGCAAATACGGTTAGACAAAATAGTCTGTATAATTTAATATATCACTTTGTCGCCTATGCGCTTAGTCTGTTTATAAGCCTATAAACACATCTTTTCTCGGCGGAAGTAACTATATTTTTTTCGAATGCGTTTTTTCCCACCCCCTTTCGAAACTCGGCGCGGGATCGGCGCCCCTTTTTCATTTTTGCGCCCTGCAAGAATTGCCAGCTGAAGGGGGGCCATGCCCCCCCCCCCCTGCCAGCACGCCACTGATCTGGAATGATAACAGCGAGCGAAAAGTGAAGCCGACAAAAAAATCACGACATAAGTAGGGGG